AAAGCCGCTGAACGGTTACTGTACAGGATGCAGTTCTGTGAGTCGACCTGCAGTGCATCACTGTACAAATGAACGGCTGCCTGAAAGTCACCTCGCTGACACGCCTCATTGCTCTGCTGCACTTTCTCCATGAACTCAGCTTTGCTCAGACCGTACCTGGCCCCGTCGTCTCCAACGCACCGGATAGGTCTGCCCGCTGTCTGAGAACCGAAGATTGAAAACTGGAGAAAAGGACAGGGAGCAGCCGGAGAGCTTTGATCAGTCTGACTGAAAAAAAACCCACAACACTTAACCAAGAGGAATTCCATTAAGCAGAGACCTCGGTGAGTGTTTTTCCAAGGCCGATATTTTAAGCTGTCATAGTCGGAAAAACACAAGTGAAGCAAATTTCATTAATGATGGCTCAGTTCCATTAAGTGTCCTGCAAGGCCACGACAGTGAGCCAACACGCACACTAAAAGGACCTTGGAAGTGGCTCATTTAAATGGAACACAGTCATTTTTATTGTGATCAATTACACCTGTGCTTTTGCTCCTGCAACATGCCAGAAATGTCTGCTGCCCACTGCTACCACTGCAGCACTGAGAACATGCACCTGAAGCACAAGGGACCGTTAATGAATGAAATGAATATGAAGCAGGGTGTTTTTGAAAGAGTGCATGACCCAGAGTCTATGCCAAACTCCTGTGTGCCAAAATAAAATGCATGTGCTGTGGTATTTGAGCTCAATAAGCCCTTTTCACGGCAGATATTTTGACGTGTCACATCAGGACATGGGTGCAATTTAGAACATTACTGCCAGCTGAATTGCAAGTGAGGCTCGGAGCCTCATTTTTGTGCATGCTAGCTTAGCGATACGGCCTCTGGAGAAACTGCTGTCTGTGATTCTTCCTGCTGTGTCATGTGTTGCGAGGTTGTGATCCTGGTAGTATGTAAATAGTGCAGCTTCAACTCTTGCAGATGTGTTGCTGCAATATGACTCAAGTCAAAAGTTGACACAGCATAGGGGCCAAAGTAAAACACTTTATAAGGCATCTGTTGTTTTTACAGTTTAAATAAAGGTTGTACAAAACAATCAGAGCTGTGCAAAACCATTGCAGACAACATTTTCTGTCTTTAGCTGCAAACTTTAATTATTTCTGCACATATGTTAACTTTAAATGAAAGCACAGTTTGTCATGATGTCACTCATTACCATGTAACCTTTTATCTTCAACTTCCCAGAGTCCACAGCTGTTCTTCTTTCACACTTTTTTATTACAGCGTTACACATGGCGGTTTAAAGAACAACATCACTGTGACGTTCAGCCTAATAAAGACGTCTTCACTGCACTGCAAAATTTCCTACCACAGCAAATATAATATATGTGTTAGTGCAAGGCTTTCTCCCTGTCCCTCTTTATTTTCCACTCTTGCACTAAAACAGCAGGAAGACCAACTGTACTGACTCAGATCTTACTAACTGCAACAAACCGGTAAGCATCTGATTGATTACAGTAAGTAGGAGAGCGTCGTGTCCGTTTAACAGGGACGGCTGGCTGAGTATTACTGAATCATGAAATTCATCTCGGGCTGCCTGGCTTTTGGGCTTGCTTCCATTATACCTCTTTCTCACCACACCTCCTCGGACTGAATTCTGGGATAGGGCTGGCTTGGTAATTACTTCCAGAGGCCCAGGGAGTAGAAGCAGCAGAAAAAAAAGAGTGCTTCTATGACAACCGTTAAATAACCTTTTGTATCACATGACAACAGAGAAAAGATCATGGTTTTATGTGTGTGTGTGTGTGTGTGTGGGGGGGGATCTCGTTTTTCTATTGCACCTCTAAGAGCAAATTCAGCACCTGAGGTTTGATAAATTCGCGTACGGTAAACCTCTGGAGGTTTTTAAAGATTTTTTCTTCTTCTTTGTCTTTCTTTTTTTGTGTGTGTATATAAATACATATAAACCATAGCTCACCTTTCAGAAACACACAAACAGGCTGAGTTTGTGACATCTGCAACACAACCAACACTATCGCCAAGCCTGACATTCAAAGGTTTGCTCCCAAAGGAGAGGCAGGAGAGGCATCTATTATGGATTAGTGCTTCCAAGGCCCAAGAGAATGCAGGTTTTGACAGAAAAGTCCGCTCTCTGCTGTCTAATCTGCTACAACATACAGAGGGGGGGCTGCCCACTGCATGTGGGCAGCACTGGGCAGGAAGGGTGGAGAGTTGAAAGCCTACATCAATACAGAGGACACCCTAACAACGTAATCATAAGGAGACAGAGATAGAGAAAGCAACTTATCTCTCCTACTGTAATGTAGTCCAGACTGCAGGATGGTCACAGTTCTCCTGGAGGAACTGTGTGGATTTTCTCTCGTTAATACACAGAAACTATCTGCCACTGTAAAGTCTTCTGTTCGTGCAAAACCTAAATAAATGTGCTCCAAGTTAATGTTGGAATCGAGCGATATTCAAATCAGATTTACGCTGGTTATTATGTGCACTGGGACAGCCCACACATCCAGTGTGCAGAACAGTGCTGTATGCATGACTGGAAAATCGATAGAGGTCTTTTACGAGGTTTTCACAGAATGGTCATTTGGTATTTCCTGTCCAGGACGCGGAGTAAAAAAGTAATCCGGGGGCAATAAAATACCAACAAGTTGGAAAATGACAGCTGGCATGACAGCCTACGAAAGAGTCGTTTTAGGGTTTTTTTTTAATATATATAATTTACCTTTTCTTTCAGAGTCGCTTGCTTCTCCATCCCGTTTGCCTGCGACGGGTTATCGCTCTCATCCCATCACACTCTTTGTTGACTTTGTGACTGTTTACGCAACGAGAACTCTTCCAAGCGTCGCCAAAAAAGTCCACGTTGCAGCGAAAGAGTTGACAAAGTGCGAGGAAAGGCTGAAAAACGGAGCTGTGTGGCTGTTCAGGAGAAACTTTTTTTCTCAAGGAAAGTGCGCCATGTTGTCAAATCTTTTCCTTTTTTCTTTTTTTTCTTGTCTTTTTTCCCCCTGTTGCCATAGCGGATTTTCTGAGCGCTGCTGCGCACAGAGAGGCAGGGAGATCTGCAGGAGACGGCGGAAGAAAAATCCAGATAATAATGTGTTACTTGGGACATTTTTAGGGGGGCATTTACATAGTAGAACTAAAATCAAATGTGTCGGGGTTTTTTTTTTGTTGTTTTTTTTGGTGAGGCCAGTAAAGTTCTGCTGTAGACCGGGGAGGGTAAATATGCATTCACCTTGTGCAGTCACCAGAGGCACTCCCTTCAGGTCATATTGTTGGGACTTCCGTGTAGGGCCACGTGGATTGGGAAATCGGTTTGAACTGTTTATTTGGCATTTGACTGTTGAGGTTGTGCTGACATGTAAATAATGTAATAATAGACAGTGAGGCGCTGATCAGATAATGCCATTAAAAAGCCAACAAAAATATAACCATTACTGCATGCGAGGCCTACCTAGGTTAACCCCTATAACTCTGTATCTGAACCCACTCAGTCACAACTCAATAAACTATAACCACAAATAAAAATGTTTCTTAACACTCAATAATACAGCTGTAGCTAGTCATTTTAAAAGCAACACCCCTATATCAGGTCAGACACAATCAGGTGGCGAAGCTGGGTTTACCTGTGTAACAATATTATTCCCTGTTTTCCAGAGATGGCGTTGATGATGAAGTTCACACAGTTTTTGTTTGCAATCATCAAATATCGATTTTTGTTTATTTGATGCATGAATCCAAAAGCCTTGCAGATGAAGTTGTAACACATTTTTCTAATACTTGTTTTAGTATCAGTGCAGTGTAGCATTGAGATATTATGTTACATTTTTAAATCTAGGGCTTGAAATTATTATATGAACATATGGGTAAATTTTCACTTATTAGTGTGGACTATGAGGAAATAAATATAAAGCTTTGACGTTGCACTCTTCACATGAGCAAATTAACTTAACAATCGCATCATGAAGGCTACTTTTTAGATTCTTTTTTTTTCCAATCAGATCTGTGGCTTAGATATATTTTTAATTCTCATAAAGACTGAAACTAAAACAGGACTTTTAAGTAATTAATTCATTATGTGCAATTCCTCACCAACAGATGGTGTAACAATCCTTCACGGAGAAGCTTTAGGCCTTTAAACAATTTTTAATCCTTTTCACTCAAAAAGAAATATTCGTGTTAGCTATTGTGAAAACTACCATTGCTGTGTTGTCCTAACTAAACATTTTTGCATTCTTGATTTCTTAAAAGCTTGGAGTTTGAATCTTGCTCAGTTTTGAGTATAAATTAAAAGTTGCAGTAAGGTGAAAAGTGTTGAGCTACCCATTTCTTTATCGTTTGCTAAGAAAATAGGAAATAAATGGAGCGATTTATTGAAACATTGAAAAAAAGACATGGAGATGCAGTATATAAGGTATAAAGAGACTTTTTACAATTGTAGCGCACTTGGTAATCAATATTTGGTATGCCCACATTTATTCTCTAACATAACTCTCTTAGACAAGCTTGAGTAATCTAAAATAGTTCTTCATGCTGTTTTTACTACACTGGCAGTGTGTTTGGCATCAGTCATGTTGAAAAATGAAGCCACTGTCATTCAAAATCCTTTTCAGATGGTATTACATGTTTGATCAAATTCTGAATGTACTTTTCTGTGTTCATAATTCCATCAGTTTCAACAAAAATCCCAAACATCACTGGCTGAAATTTAGCCTCAAACTATCCCCTACATATGAATGACAAGACCTGTTGACACCGATTTTCAGCCCAGTTCTTCTTTTTTAATCCTCTACTTGTTCAGCTTGCTTAAAATTTTTAAGGAAATGCTGCACACCATGCTGTGATGTTCCAGATTTTGGGCTAATAGCTCTTTGGGAATCAGCTTGTTGGTGCAAGAAAATATATATTTTATGCCAATCAAACTGTTGATTAACTCTCGAGAGCTATTGCTCAAGACAGTTTTTTAAATTACAATAAATAAATAAATAAATACAGTGGCTTTTTGCAAGTAAAATACAAAGAAATCAAAGGTGGCTCAAGACTTTTGGCCAATACGGTAAATTGAAGAACTTGTTAGTTTTAAGACAAAGAACAGAACTATAGTTTAAAATAAAGAATAGTCTGAAATTTGGTTATTTTTAAGGCCAATAACTAATAAATAATTAGACCTGTTTTGTTTTTTTTCACATATTTTATGGTGAACAGTTACACACTGAGTGAACTGTTTTACGTCAAATGGAGTTTTGTGCATCTTTACTAAATTTTCATGTTGGTGCCTAACATACAGTCAGTATACACCACATATATACCATATGTAACGGCCCTACAAACAAAACATACTAAATACAAATCAAATGCAGCTTAAATGTGGGTTAAATTATTGTTTTTCAGACAGACCTTATAAACAGAAACACAATTAATAAACATATCCCATCTTTATTAAGTGCTACATACAAGTACTTATAATATATTACAGAGAGTAAAATAGAGTTTAGGGTTTGTGAGCAGGTGGGGAAAAGGAAGAAAGGTCAGGAAAACTCAGGGTGAAGTTAAATAATGCCAAGCTGCTTTTTCAACTTGTTCAGTTGCTCCAAGCTGATGTTGTTGCCGCCACACACCACAATGATCACAGGGCCCAGGTGCTGCGGCAGCTTGCGCTCATCCCTCAGCCTTTTGATAATGCCACTGTACACCGCTGCCAGAGCAGCACCACAGGCAGGCTCCACCAGGATCTTCTCATCATCTGCAGAGGCAGAATATCAGGAGAGATCGGCGATCAGATCGGTCATTTCAAATCTGTTGTTTGTCTCTTCAGGTTGTACTCACCCACAAAGCGTTCAACAGCTTTCACAGCCTCCTGGTCTGTGACTACTTCTGACAGAATCGGGTGTTCTTGTGACAGTTTCATTGTCTGCGCTGAGACCTTTGCCACGCCCAGTGTGGTTGCAACACTGTAGAGTATAATACAAGGCCGCTGTTCACCACCACTCCAAACATTTGTTGACACCCTTATTTTATTTTTGTTAATTAGCTAATCAGCAGTACCTTGTAATTGCAGGTAAAGTCACATGCTCTCCAGCCTCCATGGCTGCATGGAGGCTATGTGCACCCATAGTTTCCATGGCTACAACAGGGACGTCAGCCCAGTTGGCGCGACGCAGTCCCTCCACCACCCCGTTCAGCAGGCCCCCGCCTCCCACTGACAGCACTATCGCTCCTGGCTTCTCCTTCAGGTCGTGCTCCAGCTCCTTCACCAGAGATGTGTGGCCTTCCCTTTGTACACAAACGCAAGCTGTCAGTTTCTAGAAACTCAGCACTGATTTTGCTTTAATGCACAGCAATATAGGAAATCTCTGCATGGTGCAGCCTGGTTTATAAAGCTTGGTTGTGGCATATGATTATCAAATGCCAATAATATACCAAGTAGCCCATAATTTCAATAATTTATGGTTAAGCTTAACACTTTGAATGTGACATCTCAAACAAATTAGTTATCTGACAACCTCCCCCAGAATAGCTGTGATAACATACATCTTGCCACATCATCTCATTTACTCCTTGCAACTGCTCTGTTCATGCATGATATGACAGGTGTCACAGTAACAGAAGGCTAATGTAAACACAGTCACAGCTCCGAGGATGCCAACTGAAGCCATCTTACCAGATGAGGGGATCATCAAAGGGAGGGATGTATATCCAGCCAGCATTGTTTGCCACAAGCTCCTGTCCGTATGCAATGCCTTCATCTACATTCTGTGGAAAAGAAAACATACAAATGATCTGGTATATCTCCCCCCCAGTTCCCTTCAATCAATGAAAACCATTTAATAGTCATCTTGTATTATAAATGTAACCTGTGGGTTAATAAAATGAAGCATATTCATTCAGAATCTACCACCCTCGTACATTCATTTGTTCTGGGAAAAAGTAAAAAAGTGACTGAGGAACATTTAACTAACCTTGCCATGAATGATAACAGTGGCTCCCTCGTCCCTCATTTTCTCCACTGTTATGTTCGGTGTGACGTTTGGGACAATGATAGTTGCAGGAACCCCGAGCTTGCGGGCAGAATAAGCTGCTGCCATGCCGGCATTTCCTCCTATTGAAACAAACAAACAAACAATTAAATTAGACACACTGAATGCATCAATATGGTAAAGTAGAGACTGTTGTATTCTCACCTGAACAGCAGACAAATCGCTCATATCCTCGCTCTGCCAGCTACAAGGAAACCCATAAGAAACATGTCAACACAGAATTCATGAGCCAGTAAACTGACCCTTGCCGGTTCCTTTCACTCCCGACAAGATCCTCTTTCAAATGCAGGGGAAATCAAATCATTGCCAGATAGGAATTACTCACCGTTTTGCACAGGTGACCGAGGCCCCTGATCTTGAAGGATCCTGTCGGTTGCGACGAATCCAGCTTGAGGTAAATAGAGGTCCCGGCCAGTTTGGTCAGGGCAAGGCTCTCCCTCACTGGAGTGGCCACGTGAAGATCCTGCTGGGTCTTCATTTCACTTTGGACCAAAGGGCAAGCAAAAAGATCAAAAATTTAAAACATCAACCTAAAAAAATTACAAAATGTCAATTCACAATGCGGTCATTTATACGAGAAGAACACAGGTTTCAGCTCACCTAGTTGTAGACATGTTTCCCTGAATATTACAGATCCTGTGGATCCTTATTCTTGTGTCTCTTTATCACTAAAATTTGTCAAATTTATGTAGCACTTGTCTGTGGACTTGACAAACCAAACCCATTTCTCAACCAATCAGCATTGCTCATTCAGACCAGACTCCTCCCAGTCATGATGAGGATGAGACAACCCAAAAGTGAATGACTTTCTGCATGCAAGCACAATTTTTGTGAAATGTGCTTATTATTATGTAATTATTATAACAATCTGAGAACCAAATCATAGAAAAAACACAACCTCCTGCTTAGTACTGATACAGTTGGGAAAGAATATTTAAAAAAAAAAAATGTCCACAAAGTAGATGTTATTAAAAACAGTTCCCCGTTATTAGATGCCTAGTTTCATCTTGTTCTTGTTTTATTTGAATCTACCCATGATGGATTTACTTTCTCTCTCCCATCTAAAGGAGTTGGACACAGTGCTGGCATCCCCAATCACCAACAAACAAAGGCAGGCACTGAGTGTGAGTCATTGTGTCACAACTGAATTTCCAAAAAACTGTCTGAAGACATGGTTACAAAACACAGTCATCAACACCCATTTTTCTTGACAGCCATCGTTCCATTGAAACAGTTTCTGAATCATTAGACACCCGCCTTTTCACCTCTTATTAGCACAAATCTCAGCTGTTTTCAGAAAAAACTCTTTTGAGCAGAAATTCTGCTGATTCATCTCTTTTCAGCAAAATTTTTAGCCTTTTCACCTCTTATCAGCACAATTCTCAGCAGCTTCTGCTCATTTCAGCGACCGTGGCTCAGGGGGTTGGGAAGTGCATCTGTAACCGGAAGGTCGCCATCTCTGTCCTGGCCGTTGTGTCCTTGGGCAAGACACTTTACCCTACCGCCTACTGGTGTTAGCCAGAGGGGCCAACGGCGCGATATGGCAGCCTCGCTTCTGTCAGTCTGCCCCAGGGCAGCTGTGGCTACAACCGTAGCTTGCCTCCACCAGTGTGTGAATGAATAGTGGCATTGTAAAGCGCTTTGGGTGCCTTGAAAAGCGCTATATAAATCCAATCCATTATTATTAGTAATTGTCAGTCTCTCCACCTTTTCATTGTGAGCAGGAGTTTGGCTCAGTGAGATGAGTAGCCGCCTTGAGACCCAAAGGGCCAGGTTCGAATCCTGCTCATGGGTTTTTTTTTAAAAACTTTTTCAGCTTTTTTCAGCAGAAATCTTCAGCGTTAAGGCATCCACACAGCATTTTCGCAAGAAATGCAAATTTTTCTAGTTAAGCAACTTAACACTCACCTACGAATCATTCAAGCACCTAACCAGTGTTGTGTGTTTACATAACAGACAGCTTAGCAAAAAAACTATTTTGAATTGTATGGTTAGGCACTTTGTTACTAGCAGCTGATTTTCCCCATTTGTAAGAAAAATGCCAAAGACAACACAGTTCGGCATAAAATAGCATTTTAAGGTTTAAGCTAATAACTTGGGATATCTGGGCATGGAGTGCAGTGTGCACACCATGCTACTGCACGTGTATACAGTGCATATTATATATGTATTATATTTGGTTTGTAAATTGCTTTGGTATAATATTTCAAAAACAGCATTTAAGCTAAGTTAATTTGGAGTTTAGCTACTTATTATGTTTCCATTACACCACATTTACACTCTGGTCTCCTTAAGTGAGTAATAATTGAGTTCCTGGTGGTGTCAGAGAGCCCCTTTGACCGCATGTTGTCCATTCACAGCAAAATCTTCCAAATACAAGCACCACACTTCAAATCAACTCCAGGCCTTTGATCTGCTTAACTGATAACAACATGACAAAGGGATTGCCCACACCTGTCCAATAAAGAGCCTTTTAGTCGATTGTCCAGTTACTTCTGGTCCCCTTTAAAAAGGGTGGCACATGTTAAGGAGCTAAAACTCCTAAACCCTTTATCCAGTTTTACTGTAAATACTCTTAAATGACAGCTTAAAGTTTACATTTACACATTATGTCCATGTCCATTATATAACTATTACTGGAATATCTTTCAGTAAACATAAGTAAACAAGTAAAAAAATAAAAATAAACATGTGTCAGTGTTCAAATATATATAGACCTAACTGTATGCCTTAAATTTGACCTAGAAATTTCAGCAAAGCAGCATAAAAGCTCAGTAAGCACTGACAGCACACAAAGCCTTTTGGGCTCTTCCTCAATTACACACATTGCTCAAGACAGTTTTCTTTGAATAGAACACACAATGAAACAGAATCCAACTATTGAGTCAGTTTTACTGTTTTACTGGCAGTTACTTAACTGCCAGTAAAACATACAAAGCATGTTTTAAAATAGACAAACCATGACGTCATGATGAGCACTAATTGTCAAAAGAGACTGGTAACAGTCACATTCACCAATTCACATCACCAGCACTGGCTGGTCAAGTATGAAAATGTGAGGGTTCCTGTGACCAATAACTTAAAGACCAATTAGTTAAAATGATAATTAGATCAAGAGCAAAAAAACAAAACAAAACAAAAACACAACAACAAAACCGTCAAAGAGTATTTGTACATGAAGACATTTCTTTATTGTGACACAAATCTCAAATGCCATCTGATTCTTTACATCTGTATAATCCATTTTTAGATATGTTAAGTTTCTGATGTGCAGAGGTAAGACAGTAAAAGTTAAGTTAATGCAACCATAAATAATTGTAATAAATATCAAGTAAATGTACAGCACACATTTTATCGTAACACCTCCTTGTATGGATATGTCCGTTTTATAACCTTTCCTACCCCTCCCAAGAAGGAGTAGTAGAAGAGAGAGCGTCCCTGTTAGCAGCGGTGTATCACCCTTCAAAAGGAACTGAACCAAAAACCAAAAAATTTGCAAGCAATCAACAACCCAATTAGTCAAATAGCAATTTTCGCTGTGTTTTTCAGTACTATCCAAGTAAAATGGCGATTTTACTCACACAAGAAAAACATGTTTCACCATGAGTAGAAGAAATTGAATCCATCTGAGTACAAGACAAAGGTGATAATAATATTATTGGTATTTCCAAAAAATTCATAAAAAATAACAACACAACAAACTGGATATCCAACAGACATCAGCTAGTTTGCTCATTTTAGAATCTTTTCTTGGAAGAGTAGTGCAAACCGAAAACCAAAAGTTATAAGGTGAAGTGAATTAGCAATTAATAAAAATTGCCAAACATAACTTTAGTCTATTTACATTTTTTTCCCCATCCTATTTATTTATTTTATTTTATTGTTTTTTAAACACAGCTAAACATTTGGTTATGGGTAATTTGACCAAAAGAAAAAGAAAAGAAAAAAGCAGAATGCTGTTAATTTCTCATTAAAGAAAACTATGAAAAGGCAGAACTCAAGTTAACCCGCTGCCCCTTCCTCGGTGTACGTGTGAAGATCACGTATATTGGGAATAGGAAACAAGGACATTCACATTCAGTAGAAGTTATTACACAATTACTCATGGGTTCCCTTCCTGCTTTCACAATGCAACATAGGTTTCACAATTTGTAATGCAACTTTATATAAAAAAAAAAAAAAAAAAAAAAAAAAAAGAGCAGGCTTCGATTACCATCGTCCAATCTACCTGACCCCTCGTTCTGCCACAGCTACTAAGGTATTAAAAACAAAAAAAAAAACAAAAAAAAAAACAAAAGAGAGAAATAAAATAAAAGTATCTATCTATTCATAAACTAATAGATTAATATGACTTTTTACATGACTTAAATACCCTCCCTTCTTGGATAAAATGTAATCAGTTTATATAGGCATAAGTTAGTTTGTCCATTAGGAGTTCATTTTTATTTAAAACAGGCAGTAAACTACATAATATCCTGTACAGCACTTGTTCACACCTTCTGCCTGCTTATACTTGACAGGTTCCAAGACTAGACAGCAATACAAATTTCTTTTCTTTTCTTTTTTTTGGGGGGGGAGAGTCATTGTACCTTAAACTCAAAAGCCATGATCATCATCTGATTTTCACACACAGCATCACCCTCTTGAGAGAGGCTCCTACAGCAAAGGCATGTTTCTGAACATCACCCCCACAGAGGGGTGGCAGAGGGAGGCAGCTAGGTTAAGCGTTAGGAGAGTAAATGTTTGTTTTGTGCCATAATGGCAATGCCAAATCCAGCGAGTCAGACCGAGATTACAGTGCTAAAATGTTAAGCAATCGTGAATTCAATTAAATTCAAAGTGCTGATCTCAAAGTTAGCCCGTAACGCTGCTAAATTCACAGAATTTGACTGAACCTTGTTAATCCTTCTGTTAAAGGAAAGGGGAGGAAAAGGTGAACAAAAAGTCTCACAGTTGGTTCACTTCAGCGTCGTCCTCAAACTCCGTGTCAGTGCCAATTCAGAATATCTTCCCTGAATTCCCTTGAAAAAAAAAAATAAAATAAAATAAAATACAATAACAAGAAAAAAAAAAAAAAAAAAAGCAAAACAAATCAAAATAATGAAACGTACAATTTGTGTAAACTGCAATATAAAGCAGGGATAAACAAAGCATTGCCACTGAAAATGTAATAAAATTAACTTTGTGACTTGTCAATGCAGCAGAGCATAAGGTCTGTCTCAGAGGAAAGTCCAGGAACTTGGGGATGAAGGGAGAAAAGGGGTCACGGGTGAGGGCGAGGTTTAGGGCACATGGGGGGGGAATATTCGGTTGTCAAGTCTTCTCAGCCGCTGAGTGGGTCCTCGCGGTAGTGGATGGCGTAGCGCAGTTTCTCCAGCATCACGTCCAAAGAAGTATACTGGGGCAGTTTCACCATGAACATACAGGTCTCCACCCGGATGTAGCGAGAGTCTGGCTGACCTAAAGGAGAAACAGGAGTTCATAACCCAGCACTTCTCTCCCAGTTATGCATGTTTGCCAGTTGTTAATGAACCAGAAGCCCAATGACGTGCTACGTAGCAGGTGCTATAATAAGCTGCCAGCTATGCAGGTGTACAGTAAATGACAGCAAGCCTGAGATTTTGAATGTGTGTCTGTAATTTAACATTTTAGAGTTTGCTCAAGTTTGCAAGAGAAGCTGAGATGATTTAACGTGACTACTTATGTCACTCAAGTC